AATAGCTCTTTTTTGGTAATTAATCAAGATGGGAGTCATAAATGGCCCCCTACAGAACTCTGAGCCTCAAGGACCACATGCAGCAGGAAAGCAGAAGGGAAGAATTCTCAGCCCAGGGCTTTGGGGAAAGTTTATTTAAATGCAGATCTTAGCCCAACCCCATGTCTACTAAATCTGTTCTCTGAGAGTGGGGTCCAGTAATCTACATTTTAAATCAACAGTCTAATTGTTAAAGCACACGAGCCAGACTCCATTCTGAAGACATAGCATGCCCTATGACAGCAGAATGAGAGAAATTCTAACTGAAAGAATAACTGTGTTCCATAAAATTATATAATTCTACAAGGATAAGCTCTCCTAAAAAGAGACCGTTGATAGGGTGATGGGTAAGACTCTGGTTAAAACACAGATTTTTTTTTTTTTTTTTTTTTTAGTGAATCTTAAACATCTCAGTTCACCTTCTTTGGATATTATCTGTCTGTCTGTTGCCTCAGACACTGACCTAATTCTTTTTCCACTCACTGTGCAGCTTCCCACCCAATCTTGAGGTGATTAGAACATTCTTTCTTTTTACATCTTATATGTAACCTCTTTCCATCTTTTCTGGACTTGTGTATAGTTTCTAATGGACTCCTACTCGTATGCATGTAATCGAACCTTAGCCTTACATAATTTTGTCCATGAGTCCTACATAATTTTGATACTGTTTACTTGAATCAACTCTGGTCACACTTTGCTAGAAAGTTATGGTTGCCTTCTGCCTTCTTAGTGTATGTACATCACTGGCTCAAACCCTGACAACTCCTGAATCTATAAGTCCTCTGCATACCACTAACTTATTTTAGCCCATCCTGCTTCATTTGAAAAATCTAATAAATATTTAAGTAAGCATCTCAGAAATAAAGATATTTTGTGGGTCCCATCTTTCCTTTTGTCTCATCTGTGGTTAAAAAAATCTAAATACTCTTTGGCTTTTCATTTGTATGCTCATCAGCTTTCCGTTTTGCCAAGAATATAGGGCTTGAGAAATATGCAGAAGTTGTGAAAGTTGTTTGCATTCCACTGAAATATTTCTTTAGCTGAAGGGGACCAAATCAATAAAATATGATGAAACCATATGCTCATTATTTCAAAGGAGAGCAGCTGCTTCAGGGAATATTGGGAGATTTATTAATTCTACCACTACCTCTCATTAAGGCTAGATATCTCCAAACCTGATTTCCTGAATAAAATGCACCTCAGTAGGAAAAGCACACTTGTAGAATTTGTACTGATATTCTATTTGATGTATTTCCACGGTTACTTTTATGGTGGAGAAAGCATTGTACAATCTGAAAATATTAAGCACACACACAAAAAAATACAATTCATTACATCGAAAAGGTTTATAGCATACCCATGGTTTGGAAATGCCATAGAGAAATGAGTCTTGGCAAAGATGAATGCTTACTGCTATGGGCCATATGTGCATGAAAATGAGTTTGCAACTTTCCAGGCAAGATGCCAAATGAATAGTCTGCCATCTGGTAAGAGAGGTGATGTGTTCTGTCTTCTTGTTCTCACCAATTCTAGATGTACAAGAAGACTCAGATTTGCTCTTTGGAAGACTTCTATCCAAGTACAAAATCAAGTAAATGAGCAGACCAAGTCAAATAACCAGTGCATTGAAGTGTTTTATTAATTCGGTTTAAACTCATGTCCACATACCCAAGGGAGTTCAAAGTCATGAAAATTCGTTGCCCAATTAGTTAATCACAATTATAAAATTTAAAATGAATAACAGAAAGGAGACATTTAATCTAACCACCTGTGTCCCATTCTTTAAAACAAAGCAAAGCAAAAAAGGCAAAACAAATAAACAACAAAAAAACAAAATCCCTAGGAGGAAATTACAGAATCTCTATTGAACTTAAGAGAGTTTTAAACAGTGCATATTATTACAATATACTCTCTCATATAAGTAGAAGTTAAGACAAATTGTCTAAAAACACTGATTAAAAAATGTTTTTACATTTTCATTGAGGTATAATTGACATACAATAAACTGCATATATTTAAAGAGCTATTTTGATAAATTCAGATATCAACACAATCAGGACAATGAATATATCTGTTAATCCCCAAAGTTTCCTTACACCCATTGGAAATCCCTCCTTCCTGCCCCTCCCCAGCCCCACCCCCAGGTAGTCACTAATTTGCTTTCTGTCACTATAGTGATTTTTTTTTCTAGAATTTTATACAAATGTATTCCTAGAATGGACCCTTTTTTGTCTGACTTCTTTTATACAGAATAATCATTTGGGGAATAGTCAGTGATGTTTCAATTGTAACAAAAGTTCATTCTTATTTTACTGTCGAGTAATATCTCATTGTCTGATTATACCACAATTTTTTATGCACTCACCTGTTGTTGGACATCTGTGTTGTTTACAGTTTTTGACTATTACAAATAAGGCCACTAGGAAATGTTGTGTACAAGTCTCTTTGTAAATGATTGCTTTCATTTCTCTTGGGTAAATTCCTTGAGTGATATGGCTGAGTCATAGAGTAGGTGTATGCTTAACTATTTAAGAAACTACCAAACTATTGTTCTTCCAAAGTGGTGTTCTACTTTGGATTCCTGCCAGCAAGGTATGAGAACTTCCAGTTGCCCCAAATCCTCACCAGCTCTTGGTATGGTCAGCCTTTAATTTTACCCATTCTATTGACTGTGTACTATCTCTTTGTGATTTTAATGTTCATTTCCCTGATAATCAATAATGTTGAATTTATGTTAATGTGCTTCTTTGCCAAATTCTCTGGTGGCATGTATATTTAAATACTTTACCCATTTTAAAACTTAGTCATTTATCTTCTCTTCACTGAGTGTCAAGGGTTATTTGTATATTCCTTATACACCTCCTTCATCAGATATATGTTTTACAAATATTTTCTCCCACTTGGTGGACTGAATTTTTACTTTTTATAAAATTTAATGAAGTCTAATTATTGATATTTTTAAATATAGTTTTTGCTTTTGCAGTCATATTTAAGAAATCTTTACCTTAGCCAAGGTCCTTAATGATTTTCTCCTGTTTTATTCAAGATTTTAGAGTTTTAGCTCTTATATTTAGGTCTATAATACCTTGTGAGTAATGTTTTTTTACATGGTATGATATCAGGACTGAGATTCACTTGTTTTTGCCTATGACTACCTATAAGTTCCAGAAGCATTTGTTGAAAAACTTATTTTTCCTCCATTGCATTGGCTTGTGACATTTGCCAAAAATGAGGTGACCATATATTTGTGGGTCTATTTCTTTATTTCCTATACAGTTCCACTGATTTATTAGTCTATCTTTACATTAATACCAAAATGCCTTACTAAAGCTCCATAACTCTTGAAATCATGTAGTTTATGTCCCCCGAATCTTATTTATATGTTTTCAAATTTGTTTTAGCTGTTCTGATTCTTTACATTTTCATATAAATTTTAGAATAAGCTTTCAATTCTTAAAAAAAAAAGTCTGTTCAGATTTTGATTAAGATTATATTGGATTTATAATAAATTTGGAAAGTATTGGTGAAGATATGGAGCAACTAGAATATTCATATATTCTAGTGAAAATACAAAATGGTACAGCCACTTTGGAAACAATTTAGCTGTACATATAAAGTTAAACATACACTTACCATATGACTTGGCAATCCAACTCTGCCTGTTTACCCAAGAGAAACGGAAACATATGTTTAAAGCAATCGTTTTACTGGAATGTTTATATCAGCTTTATTCAAAAAAGCCATAAAGTGGAAACACGTTCAGATTTATATCAGATAGTTAATACATAGAAAAATTGTGTTATATTCATATAATGAAATACTACTCAGCCATAAAAATGAACTGTTGATATGTGCAATATAGATGAATCTCAAAAGCAATAGGCCAAGTGGAAGAAACCAAACATAAAAGACTATATTATGTATATTTTAAATTCTATTTACATGAAATCCTAGAAAAGGAAAACTATAATGACAACATAGATCAATGGTTGTCAAAGGCTGGAGTGGCAGGGAGAGAATTTGTTGCAAATGCACATTAAGGAACTTTTTAGGGTGATAAAAATGTCTCCAAAGTATTCTACAACATGATTGCAATGGAGGTTTCATGACTGTATATATTTGTCAAAATTCCTGTAATTGTACTGTTACAAATATTAGATTTTATTGTATATAAATTATAACTCAAAAAAGCTGGCCAAAAAATGTGCAAAACTGCATACATCTTGGAGATCTCTGGATATAATCAAAGTTGAGAAAATTCCATGTGATTCTGCCTATACAATTTAAGGTGCATTACTTTTTGGTGGTATGCTTTCTATGTACAGTGTATTAGCTATTTAACATAATTCAAACACTAAAGAAGAAAATTAACTTACCAATTAAAATTACAGGTAAAATTTAGGTAACTAGGAACCATTGATACAATGTATAATCTAGTACAAACATAAGCTCAAGAATAAAACCTTTCTGTCACAACCAAAATGGTTTCAATGAAGATTGATAATTAAAAGATATTCATATTACTATTTCTAAAATCATATTTTATGACCTTGAGGCTTAAGGACATGACATCTTTAATTTAAAGTGGTCTCACCTGATTTGAGCTGACTCAGTGAAATCTAGTGCCTAAGTGTGTTCCCTTTCTACAACCATTTTTTTCCCCGCTATTATGAAAATGCTCCTCAATTTAAGAATGCTTAACATTTGGAGTGTTGCCATATAGCCTTTATTATGTAGCATCAACATTTGGTAATGATTCCAAAAATACTTTTGAAATGTTTACTTTGAGTTTTGTATTAAGTGTTGTGCATCAAGGGACCATATGGTCGGGCATTTTCTAACTTTTTTCAACTGGTGTTATGGCAAAACTACTCCACTGAATGTAACTGAGAATATATAAAACCTAACTAAAATTTAAATGTTCAAACAAGAGACACATTGAGTAAGTGATGATACCAGAATACAATAAAAGCTCTTTAATTTACAAGTTACCAGAGGCAAACATACTTTAAAGTTGATGTAAATCAAGAAAAAAAAATTACTTTTTGTGTGAGAAAGATACAATCAAAGGAAGTAGAGGTTTCCTTGTTAACACAAAGCCAGAATTAACATTTAGATTCCCAATATCTCCTGTAGGACAAAGAGGAGAAAACTGATTTTTCCCTTTTACTCTCAATTAATTTTCAATCTGTTAAAGATAAATAGGCAGAGCCTAATTCTAAAGCTGTCTATGTTCTAGAATCTATTGATGTGGTCTAATTTCAGTGTGTACCTTTGGGGCCAATGACAACAATTATTTTCAAGGGACATTGCTAATGAAACACCAATCATAGAGCTGACACAGTGTGGTGACATGGATAGAAAATCATATAAAGAAAATGGCAAAAAGTAAAAGAAAGTCTTTAATCTTATCTTGCTAATAATAGGAAAACAAATGAATAGACACCAGACATGGACAGAAGGAGGAAGTGTTGAAAATATTATTGCTGTATCACATTTAATATCCAAGGAAATTTTGAAAAATCCAGTTTAATATTCATATATTTTCTGAAATCCAGATACTATATATTTTATCTATATAATATCACATGTTATATGTATATAAACATTTTGACACACTGATATATAAATTTGTCTACTTTACAATCACTTCTTGAACCTTTATAACATACACTTCTTATTAGAGACACAGAAATGAATAAGATGTTTGGTCATTAAGAAGTAAGACAGGGAAGAAATGATTATTTTATACATATTTGTGTATATATATATATGTATATATATATATACACACACACACACAAACACACACATACATATATATATATACAGAGAGGGAGAGAGAGAGAGAGACATCAGATGCAATTGGGAGCACAGAGGATAGGGTTCCCAAACTCTACTCTGACAAGTTGGATGGGTTGGAAAGCAAAGGTAAACAAAATCAGAAAGAGGATTTTGGGCACAGGAAACAGCTTATGCAAATACAAAATTATAAGAGTATAGTCATTATGTAAACAGTTTTGTATGACCAAAGTACAAAATTTTCATCTTTTGAAGGGTGGCGCAGTGCAGGAAACTATTAGAAACAGGACTGGTAAACTATCAAGTCAGATGGTTAAGGGTTTATTAAGCAAGCCAAGGGGGTTAATTAATGGAAAAAAGAAGCCATTGATGAATTTTTTTCAGAGATACACTGTGATCAGATTTGCATTTATGAAAGATCTCTTGATATTGAAGGGGAGCAGAATATGCCACCCCCAAATATGCTACTTGAGCATATTAATTTTTTGAATTAAAGTTAAACAACTGATATAAGAGTAACACTGTGACTTCCTTTGCCCCCCTGAAGGCAGAAAATAAATCCCCCATATGAAATTTACCCTCCCTCTACCAGAGGGGTAGAAGGCATCCTTATCACCAGAGACAGAGAATTTGGGACCAAGAAGGCTGTATAAATAAACCTTGTTACTTCTTCACCAGTTTGCCACCCCAAGCCTGAACCCCTTTGTCTTGTCAGTTCTTCACAGATGTATTGTTTCCTTGACTAATGGTATAAAAGCTGCCTGTTTTGTTCACTTCTTTGAGTCTCATATTTTTATGGGATCCCGCACATGTGAAATTAAATTTGCTTTTCTTCTATTAGTCTGCCTTATGTCAATTTAATTATTAGAACAGCCAAAGAACCTAGAAGGGAAGAAAGGAAAAGTTTCCTCCCCTACAAGATCTACAACTACTCTGACTTGCATAATTTTCGATCTCTTTTAAGGAAAATGACCATTCCTTTGCAAGCTAACACATCTATCTGGAGAACACATTTAACATTCAATAGATGCTTGTGACAGATCTCTGAACCCTGCAGACAGAAGAAATACAGTAGACTCTTGAACAACACAGGTTTGAACTGTGCAGTTTCACTTATATGCAGATTACTTTCAATAGCAAATGCTACAGTACTACACGACCAGCAGTTGGTTGAATCCATGGATGCCTGGCCACTGAAATGGAGGAAGCGCATGCTGATTCTCTGATTGCACAGGGTGTCAGTCCCCCTAAACCCGACGTTGTTCAGGGGTAAACTATATTTTTATGGTTTGGATTAAATAGTATTATAATTATTTTCACATATGAGCTATTTGAAAGTAGAAATCATTCTGTTCAGGTTTACATCTACAGTAGTAGCTCTCCAATCAACAGCTGAAGATCTAAATACAAATGAACCAAAAGAAATGACTGGTAATGGAGAGCATGAAAACAAACTAGATATAAGAGTTTGTTGGGGTAAACAGAAATAGTGAAACGTCTAGCAAAGAGCAGGTGTTGATGGCATGTAGGGGTTTTGACATCTTAAAAAACCCATATATTTTTTTGTGCTATGTATTATTATGTTAGATAGCTTAGTTTATGAGCATGGAATTTGAGAAGATAGAAATGTAATTCTTATACCTACAAAGTCTAGTCCCAAGGAATGTCATAATTACTTTTACATTAACTGAAAGACTTGAGTAAAACCAAAATATTAACTGCTAACCAGGGTTTTGAATATGCAAAATTATTTGTTTGAGAATTTTAATAGGAAAATACATTTTTTGAAAGCAGGAAAAAAATGAGTCATGCATCTTATTGAGTACTCCCAGAAAAATAATATGCTATAAACTATTAAATGGAAAGAGTAATCCACTAAGATGACCAAAACAACCAATGAAAAGTGAATGACATTGACAAAGTTATATAGTAAGAATAGATAATACAACAGGTTAAAACAAACCATCAGTTTTTGTTTTTCCAAAGTAAGACTGTAAGAGGAATTTAACCAAGACTGGTAACTACTTGGTAATTCCAAATTACTATATTTTTTTAAATTATTGTGACTTGTTAAAAGACATTATGTAAGAATATTATTTTGAATTTCAGTAATATCTCAGAATATGCTTTTGATCAACTACAAGGTGCTGGGGATTTCTTGAAAAAGGAAATCTTTTAAAGAAATGCTTTCTTTTCTGGAATCTGTGAAAAAAAACACATTAACAAGTAATTATACTGTGGCAAATGGTATAATAGAAGCACAGCATTATTAAGTACTATGAGAAAACACACAATGAGAAAGATCTTTTTTTCTGACCAGATACAGGAAGAAGAAATTGAAGTAGCTCCTGAGTTGGGCTTTGTTGTAGGAAAAGAACAAATGGGCAATAGAAATTGAAGTAGCTCCTGAGTTGGGCATTGTTGTAGGAAAAGAACAAATGGGCAATTTGTTAATGTAGGTTTTTTTTTTCTTTAGTTCTTTCATTATGGGGGAAGCTGTCTATTCAATTAAAAAATGAGAAAGGAAATGGTGGCAATGAAAACTAAATATAACATAGTATGAGGCATAAACTTCAGAGTATAATCACTATTTACTTACTAGTTAGTTTTCGAAAATCTCTCTCTTCAGAATGCAGCAATTCAGTGAGCATTGAGTTTTCCATGTGCCAAGCATACCTCCTATATACCAGGCACTCCTCTAAGGACTAGTCTAGAGGCACGGAGGTCAAAAGAGCCTTTGCTGTCAGGGAGCTGGCATTCCAGTGAGGGAGACAATACATGAGATGAAATTTGCTGAGACAAGTGAATGATGAGCAGGCATCTTCTATGTGACTGCTGGAGCTACTGGACTTGTCTAGTAGGATTCCCTGGACAAAAAAGAGATCTTGAGTTTTAGGAAGTCTTGATGTGTATAAGGGAAAAAAAGCCGTATTTTCTTCTGGATATAAAAATTTTCAGTGACTTTTCAAGAATATCGTACATTTGTATTAGGGAAAGTACCTTTGAATGTACCTTTTATTTATATAAACACTTCCCCATGTTTTTAGAAAACAAAACCAATATCAGAATGTAAATGTTTATCTTAAGAACAGCACTATTCTTGCAGGTAAAGCACAATGCCCTGTGTAATTTTTAGTATGTCTGCAAAACTTTTGCCCATTTGGAAGAAATGTTTCTTGGTCTTGTAAGAATTTAGTGTTCACTGAACTGTAAACTGATCTTACTTGAAGTCTTATGTATATTGGTTTTCAAGTATTTGTGGATGAAGCTGATACTGCAAAAAAAGAAAAAATTCTACAGGTGTGAGCTTCATGCCACACAAGACAGGCTGTGAATCAGAATTTGACTAGTTTTAAAAAATAATTTGCATATAGTATAATTTAGATGAGTGATTTAGAAATGTCACTCTTGGACTATTATGTTCCAGTTGATGAGGCCGTGGTGACTGAAGGATTGTTCCACATCTTTTTGGGAGATAATATGGAATTTTCTCTAAATGGTGAGGCGTTTAGAAGCATTCTAGGAAGGGCTTTGTTGGAGACAAAAATCTGAGATATGGGTTTAAAATAGGGACCTCTCTATAACTCATAGCAATTTGATTTTCAATTTGGAGTCATAGATATACATAGAATTCTCCCATTAGTTTCTCAAATTTATAAGTGTATAAATGTACACTTATTTCTCAAATGTATAAGTGTATTTATAAGTGTATGTATGTGTGTGCACGCGCGCTCATGCGCATGTGTGTTTTGAGCAGGAGTTGGCATCTTTCCACAAGTTAGACAGGGAAACAGATGCTGAGGATGGCCATGGACCTGCAGACCCTGAGAACAGGCATATTTAGGAGCTAGTTTTACATTACTTTTGGTGCTGTATTTCTGTATTCTTGTCCTCACATCTTTCACTAAAATATTAGTAAAATGGTTGTCATCATCAGAGTTGTATAGTGATGAATTATGAGAAAGGCTTGTTGCATGTTAAGGATGGGGTGACATTGGAGAGAATAGTAAGGCTGACCTTCCAAGAGCTTTAATACGGGGTGATCACCCTGCAGAGGCTGACTGCACCCTGCAGAGTGGTTCTCTATCGATGTATTATCATCAACATGAATGCTAATGAATTAATGAAGAAGCTGAAGTGGAAAATTGAAGAACATATTCCTGAGTAGTCATAGGACAGCTCCTTGGAGGGCCCTCAGAAATAACTAGAGGACCTTGCATAAGGAGATTCGATATTAACTTGAATTGGGATGAGAATATAAATTAATTTTCCCCACTGTCACATGAGGCCAGGATCTGTTGGTAACTTGCAAGATAACAAATAAGAAGCATTGAGTCAACACTGAGAGAAGGGTAAGAGTCTATGTCACTTTGGGTATTGATGCTGAACTCTTTGGAAATGGAAAACTGGTGGCTTTAAAGTGAAGCCAGAATAACCACAAAACTGAGGGCAAGTTCCACCTTCTGAGGCGTTAAAAAAGGTGACATCCCTTGCTTATAGGAAGCTACTTTATTCTAACCAAAGTGACAAACTATGAAATTTCAGAGAAATTGCATTTGTCTTATTTATCTCTGTATTTCCAATTTCTAGCACAGTACTCTACTGAACGGGAAAATTTTGAAAAAGTTGGTAAATACATAGATTTTCTCATTAAATAAAATCTAAATTATTAATTTAAAAAATTGGTCCATTCCATTGCTAAAGGAATAAATCACAAACTCCAGAACAGTGCCTGGCTCCAATCTACTTTAACAATCTCAGCTCCCAATTTCTCTGTATGAATTTATAATCATATTAACCCCCAGCCTTTCACCAATCACAAGTTGCCTAATCCTATTGCTCTACTCTTGCTCAGCTCTTCCCTTAATTAAGGATGTATTTCTCCCAGTCTCAATGTCCATCTATATATTCCTCTTTGATCTTTGGACTTTGGAGGGGTGATAATTTTGGATAGGTGCTTTGGCTACTTCCACTTGTGCCCACAGTTTTTTTTTCACGGCATTAGCCAGAGAGAGGTTTCATGGGGTATTTTGCATTTGTTTAATGTAAATTAGGTCATATCAGTCCATCTTAAAACCGTCCATTGGTTTGCCATCACACTTAAAATTCAAGTCTTCATCATGTCTTTCAAGGTCCACACTTCCCTGGCACATGGCTTCCTCTCCAAAGTCATCACCCTCACTTACTCTTCTCCAGCCATATTGCTTCTTATTGTTCCTTGAGCCTGCCAACTCCATTGTAGCTTCAGGGCCTTTTTAAAAATTTTATTTTATTGAAGTATAGTTGATTTACAATGTTGTGTTAATTTCTGCTGTACAGCAAAGTGATTCAGTTATACATATGTATACACATTCTTTTTTATATTCTTTTCCATTATGGTTTATCATGGGATATTGAATACAGTTCCCTGTGCTATACAGTAGGACCTTGTTGTTTATCCATTCTATATATAATAGTTTGCATATGCTAATCACAAACTCCCAATCCATCCCTCTCCCATTCAGACTTTTAAATTTGCTTTTTCCTCTGTCAGGAAATATCTTTTCCCAACTCTTTTTGTGGCTCACTCTTTATTTTATCCTTGTTTCTACTTAAATGTCACCTTCTGAGAGAAATGCTCTCTGGCTTAATTAATCTAAAATAGCCCCAACTAAAACCTTTATCCTTCCGACATCTACCCATTAATATGCAAATATTTTACAGTATGTACTATAAATTCCAAAAGCTGATATATATATATATATATATTTTTTTTTTTTAAATTAAAATGGATTTGAAATAACTTGCTTATTAATGAAACCACTGAGAGTAAGTAATCTCACTCTCTAACCTGTGTTTAGCTATTTTGTTCAACAAATTGAACCTAAAATAAAACAAATAAAATCTCACCTTTGAGAGAGGAATGGGGTGAATCCCCTTTTGATCAGTAAGCACTCATAATTATTGGTCTTGATAATTACTAGCTCAAATCCAGTCTCTCTTCAGTGAAGCATATCAGGATAGGGTAAAAGTAAACACAGGTTTGTAAGTGGTTTTGACCATATGCTGATGGTCTGGAAAAGGTTGATTCACTCAGCAGAAAATTTTGGTCTGGTCAACTAAAAGCTGCTTCTCTTTTTTACCCTTAACTTGTATAAGTCTTCTAACCTTGGTTTAACCTTTGTCAAAACCTTAGAAAGTCTCTGCCCTTGACTTTTCAACCATGAAATTCCTTTCTGCATATAATGCAATTTTAATTTTTTCTGTTTCCCTGGATCTTCAGTTGCTCCTAAGTAGCTGCTAGAAATATGTGGCTAGCTTTAGTTGAAACTGCAAATTCTCAACTCCCTGACTATTTGAGATGCACATAGATAGGCTTTGGGGAGTTCACCTAGTTCTCATCCCCTCAAAAGGAGAAAAAAAGTTTTGCAATTTATATTTCTTTGAAAATTATTTTGTGGTGCAAAATTATGCTAAATTTATGGTGTGAGGGTTATTTTTTTTCTCTAAAAGACCCAAAGAACCATAGGGTAGCAAACTTTTATATACAGTTATTATTACTTCCATATTTCATCATTTAAAATGGTCCACCATTAATAGCATTTAGGGAAAATATTTCATTTATGGATATCTATATATTATTTCACATTGGATCATGTTTAAGTATTCTTGTCCTGGAATTCAGTATTCTGTTCACAGATGAAATAACTTCTGTCAAGGTGATGGTTAGAAATCACCAGGTTCTGTGGCTCTGGTAAAGAAAGAAGGTCCATAGTTTCAGGCTTACTGTTTCTATCAACATTGTGTCCAAAAGGCTCTACCAGCTGAAAGTCTACCAACTGACATAAAATTTGTTGACTTTGCCAGATATCACACCATAAATCATTTATCAAATGATTTTGTCAAGAGTTGAGAATGGGGTAAGAAGGTTTTGTTCTTCCTAAAAAGTCTTTAATCTTCCTTTATTTTTAGAGGATATACTTGCCAAGTAGAGAGTTCTTGGTTGACTGTTTTTCTTTCAACACTTTAAAGATGCTACTACGTTGTCTTTTGGCTTACATTTCTGATAAGTCTTCTGTATATCTTATATTTGTCCTTTTGGATGCAAATTGTCTTTTTTTCTGGCTGCCTTCAAGATTTACTCTTTACCTATGATTGTCAGCAGTTTGAATGTAATATGTTTATGTGGGAGTTTCTTGATTGTTTTGTTCTATTTTTAGTATTTATCCTTCTGAGGTCTCTCTGAGCTTTTTGGATATGTGAATTTTATTATTTTTGGAAAATTCTCAGCCATCATCTCTTCAAATATTACTTCTCCATTCTCTTTCAATTAGCTCCTGGAATCCCAATTACACATGTTATATTGTTTTATAATATCCCACAAAATGTTCGATTCTATTTTTTCTGCTAATGTATTCTTTTGTGTTATAGTGTGCGTAATTCTTATTGATCATGTGAAGGCCACTGATCCATTTCTTAGCTATGCCATATATACTGCTAAGCCTACCAAAGGCCTTCTTCAACTACGTCACTATATGTTTTCTAGCATTTTCATTTCATTTATATCTCTGCTAAAATCTCCCATCTGTTCAAGCATGTTGTTCACCTTTTCCACTAGAACTTTTAACTTATTCATTATAGTCATTTTAAATTCCCTGTCTGAACTTGATTCTGTTAATTATTTTGACCCTTAATAGTGTTTCTTTTTTGTCCCTTGGTAGTAACTTGTCTTTTTGTTTTTATGTTTTACAATTTTTAGAAAATATGAAACTGAGGTAAATATTTTTGCCAGAAATTGGCATGCTTCCCTTTCTGCTATGCCTTAAGTATGCTGGGTTGAGTTAATCTAGTTAGGAGTTTAGCTGGGCTTGGGTTTTATTGTTTACTTTTGTTTGAAGTTTGTTATTGATATCATTATCCACAGTGTACTACAAGCTTCAGAGTCCTCTAACATTACCTTATACTTAATGTAGGGCTAGACTGTTTTTCTCAATGTTCCTGTTCCACCCTCAGCTTTAGGTGTTTCCTCTAAGCCTGTGCCTCAAAGAAGGATTTTCTTCACACTGTTGTCCATTCCCCAGTGGTAAACCACTATTACTTATTACTTAATGCATGTTAGTCTGGTAGGAAGTTGTATGTATTCTCTGTTGTCATAATTATCCTATTTTATGCAAGCTTTGTTTCTCTGGGTATTGGGGATGGGACTTGTTCAGTGATGCTGCCTCTTACAGCACACCTTTAATGGTCAAAGCCTAGGATGGTTTCTATTTGAAGTTCAGTAGTAAAGAAATTTTTTCTTTTAATTTCCCCCAGCCGAAATGGGTTTTCAGTGTATCCCTGTGGGTAACAGAATTTGCTTCCCTTAAGAGTATTGTACAGTGGAACTTTGTGCCTTTCCTGCTACCCTCCTTGGGCCTACACTTAAGGGTGGCTTTCCCCATTCTACCACTCTGCCTTCCACCTTTTTCATGAGAATTTGATGAACTACATTGAGAGAAGCCTTCAAGTGGCTGCAAATTCTCATGCTTACCCATATCTAGTCTTTAACGACTGGTTAAATATTTTAGCTTAATATTTTTTCTGAGTTAAGAATTCTGAGGTATAAAGATTGATTTTATATTTTAAAATGTTGCTCCTTTGTCTTCTATCTTGTATAATTTCTTACGAGAAGTCTATGATTCTTCCTTTCTTTGTTTACCTATACATATGTTTTTCCTCTGTTTTAAAATTTTTCTCTTCAGTGGTTTCTAGTAATTTAATTACAGTATGCCCTGTGTGGTTTTCCTTGAATTTATACTGATTTTGGTTTATTAATCTTCCTGGATGTGTGGGTTTAATTTTCATGAAATTTAGAAATTATTATTTCAAATTGTTTTTCTGATTCTTCCTTTTTGGTAATCCAGTTACAATGATATTAAACAGTTTGGCTTTGTCCAATATGTCCCTTAGGTTATGTATATTTCTTCAGAATATACAGAACTATGCTTTATTTTTTATAATATCTTTTACAATAACGTAATGCTCACTGATTTTCCCCCTGCATTACATAACCAGATGTTTATTCAATTTTTAAATACAGATATGTGCTTTTCATCTTTAGAAATGTGTATCTTCCATTTCTTTCATTATTTTCATGTTTTACTTTACATCTTTGAGCATAGTTATAACACGTTAAGGTCTTTGTATTAACCTCATCAACTGTCACTTCTGTATCTGTTTCTATACACTGATTTTTCTCATGGTAAATGTCTCAGTTTTTCTGCATTGCACGTATCTATTAATTCGGGGTTGGATGCTGGATATTTCTGAGGGATGAATTTTGGTGTCTTCCTCTTAAGACTGTTGTAGTTTTTTTTCTGGAAAGCAGTTAAATTATTTGGAGATTAGCTTGGTGTTCTTCAAAGCTTATTGCTAAGCATTGTTAGGACAGTTATAGGATAGCATTTTTTCTACATCTAGCTTAGCTCTCCTCTGAAGGCATTATCCTTCTAGAGTGTGTACTGAATGTCCAGGTTATTTAACAAGGTTTCTTGACTTTTGATGGCCACAATTCAAACATTCTCAGACCTGTGTTAGCTTTGAGGATTATTCTTCTTACAATTCCTTGCCACGTTTTTCACTGCACACATTTGGCTTATTACTTAGCAACAAACTCTAGGAAACTTCTATGCAGATTTATGAAACTTTTTTCACTGCTATCTCCTTTCTGGTACTCAGCCCCACAAATCCTGGCTGCCTGTAGCTCCCTCATCTCCAAGCTTTGTCCTCTCAATTAAGCAGGACTTTTATGATCTATAGGGGTCTTCATCCCTGCACCACCATCTGAAAAGTTCCACCAGGCATGAAACTGTCAATTGCAGGGCTTATTTCATTTATTTATCTTCTTTATGGATCACTTTCAACTGTTCAGTGTCTGAAAATAATATTTGCATTTTTTTTCAGTTTCTAGTTGTTTATGGTGGGAAGGCAAGTGTGGTCCTAGTTAATTATGGCTGCTAGCAATTTTTGAGCAATTATTTATGTATTTAGAGCTTTTCTAGATTTCAATTTACTTCATTATCCCACTTTATAATCTAAAGGCCTGGATGATTTTTTCCTTGTTTCTGAAATATCTCTATACATGTCAATTCCAGCTCTCACAGATAGGGCATCCACCTATCATGTGCATCCACCGTCATGCACAGAAGTTGCTCATAGGCAATTTGCTCTTCTGTGACAGCTTGCTTCTCTTTGAGAATTTGGTTTATCAGGGTTTCTTTGCATTTATCACTTTTCACTATCCCCACAGAACAGTAGGATTTTTATTTTGACTTATATTTCTTCTTATTACCAGGCAATGAAAATCTTTCACATCCGTCTCTATCTGACCAAGAATGAAAGCCGTGTACTTTTCACAGTATATTTTAGTAAAATGTTACTAATATAACTTCTTGTTGACACACTCAATAAATTAATTGGTCTCTTTAAAAACAGTGAGGCAAGCATTCAGATTTCTTGAAACATAAATCAGCCTAAAGGCTTTTTTCAACACAATTCTTTATGTCACAGGATCTAAAGCCCCTCTTTTTGCTCACCTTTGCTGAGCTGCAGCTTTTGGTAAAGAGATACTTTACAAGTTGAGCTCTTCTGGGAGTTCCACATAGGGATAAGGGCAATGGTTCCTCATCCTAACATGCCATTCCATTCTTGGACTTCAACACAGAGAAAGCAAATTAGGATATATGTATTACATGTAGCCTCTACCTCTCTCGAGACAGGATTTTTCAATCTCTTCTCCTCTGGTATAGAATTAATCTCTGTCCTTTCTAAATGCAGCCTCAAGTTATAACCTTACCACTTGGCATTCATGAAAACTGGCTTACTCTAGGAAACAAATCTGTAAAGCTTTTACAAATACTCACCTGACAGTGCGACTACCTGTGAAAAGCCTTGTTTTCAAAGCAAACATATATGAAAGATCAGGATCATAGATTATAGAACTAAAGTTTTAATGAAATCACGAAAAATAAAGAATACAGACTTCTTATATACTAATTCTTTTTCTTTTTTTATTCTGAAACATTGATCTTTTGCCACAGGCAGTCCTTAGTGTTCCTCCATATGGTACTACTTGATGCAAAAAAGATAATTAAAATTTTTGTCCTGTTTTTATTCTCCAGGATAAAACTTATGGAGGTAGCACCACTAATTTTTAGAAATTTGCTCCATTGAATAAATTCCATAAATATGGAGGGTGGGCAGAAGTGAAAGGGAAAAACTGATTTGGGGGAGTCAACTTCTTAGGAAATCCTTATTTCTTCTGAAGGCAAGTTAAAGATTGACAAAATATATAGAGATAAACAAATACAGTTATGAAAGAATACTGATAACAGAGGTAAAGACGTATAGGAAATATATGCACAGTATTTTTGCTAATTATTAACTAATCCATTAAGCAAATTGTTTTGAAAGCCAGTACTACACTGTCTGATACTGTAGCTGCTAAGTGCATATGAGTAAATTTAAATTAATCAAAACAGAATACAATTGAAATTCAGCTCCTCGGTCTCACTAACCACATTTGAAGGGCTCAGTAGGCACATATGTCAGGTGGCTGTCCTACTAAACTGTGTAAATATAGGACATTTCATCATTGCAGAAAATGCTATTGGACAGTACTAGCCCAAAACATACTACATTCTGTCCTAGGCCCTTGGTTATAGAAATGTACAGAATTTTTCTGCCTTCATGGGACTAAATATGTTGCTATATTCAGACAATAAACGTGTAAACTAATATGAGCTCATGTTGAGAATAAAATAAAAAAGGATCATAGGAATCAAAGAGAAATGTCTAGGTCAGTGGGTAGTGGTGGTTATTTTATCCAGAATGTTTAGGGAAGACTTCTTTGAGGACATGGCATAGAAGTCTGCCATGCCAAGACCCAAGATAAGAGCATTTGAATCAGAACAGAAAATACAAATATCCTGAGTTTTGTAAAGTTATCCTGAGACAGAAAAAAAAAACCCAACAACATTTGATGAGGGCAGTCTTTACCAATGACTTATGAAAAGCAAAAAGATCTGAGAAAAGGATTGATTTAAAGAGTTGTCTTCTCAGTGTGACCTCAAGGAGTCCCTGGAGTGGTGGTAATGGGGGTGTTAGAGGCAGGCTATTAAAGCGGACACACATGTCTTAAGGGTTAATTGCTTTTCACCCAAGTTTGGATCCCTTTGGACACACACGTCCATCCATAGTGCTATACCTTATGAAAACCAATGCTATGCTCATGGTCAGTTTCTTTCCCAAACTACATTTTTAAGGGCCTAAGCACATAAGAAGATGTGGGAGAGCACCTTTTTCTCTGTCCCAGTTCTTTCCTGACGGTTACGAGTCAGATGCACCTTAGAGTCCTCTAGAGGGCAGCATTGCTTAATTCCAAATGCCATACACACAGTCTTGGGTCTTTGAAAAACACTGATGCAATACCTGTTAAGATGAAATTCTTCCAGAAGTTTCCTTGGAAATGGAAATAATTCAACACAATTTTTGAAAGATGTGCTTGGGAAATTTTCTGTGAAAAGATATTCTTCTTCAAATGTTCACAAGGATAAATTAAACCCTTGAGGCTAGAGTTTTCTCTCTTGCCAGTTTGGTTACATCATCTCTCAGGTTCTCATCACAAAATCAAGCTCTCCCCCAAAGACTCCTATAAGTCTTCATTCACCTCCTCCTCTGTCCAGGAAACATTTATTCATCCTTCATGTTTCATTAGCCTTTGAGGAAACCTTCATGACCTGTTCCTCCCTGACCACCCCTCCCCCAACTAAAGATAAGGGACATGGAAGTGAAAGAAGTGTTCCTGGGAAAGAAACAAAGGGAAATAAGCATTTTATCACAATTTTGATGACAGTTTTGTATATTTAAGGAAATAAATGGAAAATGTCTGATACTAATGCTTGAGACTAAGGTTAAAAATAAATGATTTCTTTGTGTGTTCATCTGGGGCTGAAAGAGCAAACCAATCCATTAATTAATAAGTCTTTTATATGGTTTCTATGTGCTTTGAATGGTGCTCTTGAATAGGAGATATTCTGGAGTGAAAAAGGAAATACATTTTCACTCCTGCTAATTTTATTTTAAAATGTTGTATCTGTTAAAACAACAACAACACAGGCCCAAAATGGCATCGCTTATGCTAAAGCCCATGATACCAAACCTAGATTTAATACCTAACTGCAGTTTCAACCTTCACCAGGAATGTAATTTTTCTTAATTGAGATACAGTTGATGTACAATATTATATAAATTACAGGTGTACAACATAGGGATTCACAATTTTTAAAGGTTATACTTCATTTATAGTTATTATAGAATATTGGCTATATTCCCCGTGTCGTATAATATATCCTTGTAGCTTATTTTATACCTAATAGTTTGTATGCCTTAATCCCCTATCCCTATATTGTCCCCACCACTTCCCTTTCCCCACTGGTAACCACTAGTTTGTTTTCTATATCTGTGAGTCTGTTTCCTTTTTGTTATATTCACTAGTTTTCTTTTTAAAATTCTGCATATAAGTGATATCATACAGTATTTTTTTTCTGTCTCATTTCACTTAGCATAGTACTCTCCAAATCCATCCATGTTGTTGCAGATGGCAAAACTTCATTTTTTATGGCTGAGTAGTATTCCATTGTGTATATATACCACATCTTCTTTATTCACCCATCTGTTAATGGTCACTTAGTCTGCTTCCATATCTTGGTAATTGTAAATAATGCTGCTATGAACACTGGAGTGTATGTATCTTTTCAAATTAGTGTTTTCATTTTTTTGTTTGTTTTGGATATATACCAGGAGTGGAATTGCTGGGTCATATGGTAGTTCCATTTTTAGTTTTTTGAGAAATCTCCATACTGTTTTCCATAGTGACTGCACCAATTTACATTCCCACCAACAGTTTGTGTCATCTTCAATTTCTTTCATCAGTGTCTTATAGTTTTCTGAGTACAGATCTTTCACCTCCTTAGGTAGGTTTAATCCTAGGCATTTTATTCATTTTGATGCACTGGTAATCTTACTGAGTCCCAAGCTCATACTGCTCGCCACATGACAGGCCAATCAAATCAAGAGACAAGTTGTTGGGCAAGGAATAGCAACTTTATTCAGAAAGCCAGCAGAGAAGATGGTAGACTAGTGTTCCAAAAAAGCATCTTGCCTGGGTTTGTATGCTAGTTTCTTTCATAGAGCAAAGAGGGGGAAGTGAGGAGATAAAGTAAAAAAAGGCAATAAGATGTTGCAAATATTTCCTAGTTCCAGCCAGACTCTGGAGGGGGTGGATGTTAATTTCTTCTTTCCTGCAGCCATGAATAGGTGGGCCTGGTCAGGATGTTTCCTGTGAGCTAAACAAAGGTATTTTAGTTTAAGCTCAGGCATAGGAGGCAGGGTTCCCGGAAATAGGCCATTATGTATACTTTAAGCTATAGGCAGCATCCCTTTAGTGACTAACTTGTAGCAAAAGCACTAAAATATGAAGGTTAAAGTAAGAGAAACATCCAATATGGAGTCAGATTTGTTCTTCCCTCTTACAGTAAATGGAATTGTTTCTTTAATTTCTCTTTCTGATAGTTCATTGTTAGTATACAGAAATGCAACAGGTTTCTATATATTAATTTTGTATCCTGCAACTTTACTGAATTTATTGATAAGCTCTAGTAGTTTTCTGGTGGCATCTTTAAGATTTTCTGTGTATAGTATCATGTCATCTGCAAACAGTGACAGTTTTCATTCTTCCTTTGCAACCTGGATTCCTTTCTACTGGATGTAATCTTTTTTTTAAAATAAATATATTAAATTGCAACGAAGAGTAGCCCCTGCTTGCCACAACTAGAGAAAGCCCACACACAGCAACGAGCACAATGCAGCCAAAAAAAAATTTTTTTTAATAAATAAATTAATTAAAAAAAAGGAGACCCAGGTTTCATACACTTACTCACATATCCATTGTCTTAACACATATTAAATAAATCTTACATGAACCTCTGCTCTCAGTGCTATGTACTGCTCTCAGTGCTCCTATGGTTAATGTGTGGATTTTAACAATCAAGTATGTAATTAGGAAAATAACAGTGTGACAGAGAACGTTAAAGAAGATAATGATTCCTTTTCACTTTACTTTTACCTACAAGAGGTACTGAAGAGCTTCGGGTGGTAGAGAAATCACCTCCACCTCAGGACATTTTGAGAAGTTTCAAAAGAAAAGTTGAATTTGAGGTACACCTTATAAGAGAGGCAAGATTTCTTTAGGTACCAAGGGAATAAGAGTGTGTTGGCTGGAGTGAATAGAAGAAACTAAAGTGGGAATGACACATAATGATAGCAGTCATTTATTTAGTGCTTACTATTTGTCAGGTAATTTATCTCCTATGATTCTCACAATGACCTTAAATCCTCATTCAGTAAATGGGGAAACTCAAGATCAAAGATACTGAGTAATTTGCTGTAGACCACACAGCTCTGAGGTAACAGAGGCTGAATTCATTCCTCAGAGCTCTCTGACTCTTGATTAAAAGAGTCACCAACCTAGATCTCTTGTTCCTGGATCACAATTCATACTAAAGAGGACTCGACCTTAAGACTCAAAAAACTATTCTAGGGAAGCCTGTAAGTGAAAAACCACATGTGCCAGTAGCTAAGCAATGTCTTGTTTCAATGCAGAAATGATATTTACAGTGAAACTGACCTTTCTTGTATGTAAGAGATTCAATACAGGATTCCATTTACTATGGCAGGATATGAAATTAACTCATGAGATTTGAACTTCTGGTACTTTCAAACCAAGACTTAAAAAACCCCTGAAATTTACAACAAGCATGTTACAACTGGTGACTAAATGGGAGCACGGGGAGAAGTACAGTTGTAACAAAAGAGTTTAGATAACTTTTTATTACACTGGACTGTCTCCCTGCCTTAGTTCAAGGTTCTGATATTAGATTTCACTGGGGAAAAAATGAATTGAGATAACATCAGATAAAGCAGCATATTGTGAAAATTATGCACGGGATATCCCTATGAAATGAAATATTCCCCATCACTTAAACTAGAGTTGTATTAGAAGCATAAAGGCTTCCCATAAAATACATACCATATGGTCTAGCTCATAGAACTTTGATTATATTTTCATCAGTCAAAACTGATGAAATTTAATTCAAAATTTATTCAAAACTTAATTCAAACTTAATTTGGAAGGTGAAATGTAAGTGTGTGTGCAAAACTCTGGATTTAACACTGTAGTGATTATGGTAGCCTAAAAATATAGAGACCTGCAATTTAGAAAATGTTACTTGTGGTTGAGGATTAAAGAAGCAAAGGAAATCCATTGCTTTACTCTGACTCACATTTTCTACACAGGAAGCTTAAATTCATCTCATGCACGCATGCACGCACGCACGCGCACACACGCACACACACACACACACTTTCAAGTAACTTTTGTATTCTACTAGGTAGATGCATGCTGGAATTAATTACTTTTGTCAGCCAAAGACAGCACCAATGAACATTCTCAAATGTTACCTTATCACACAAAAAAGACCTACAATTCTTATTATGATCTTTTTGTCTCTTTCTGTAGACACTTATGATGAAATTTCATCTTTAGTGATGGCATTCATTGCAGTATTAGGAAAGGATATTTTCTCTTTTGGAGATAAATGGTGAGCTGACATTTTTGAGTCTCACTGGATTAACACAGAACCAGCTAGGGAAAAGAAAAGTTAAAAATGAAAAGTAGAATATAAGAAGTTCAGATAAAGCTATCCTTGAGTTGACAGTTTGCTATGAAAATCCATTTCCTTAGTTTTTTAATTTAACTAGAAATCTTTCAGTAAAGCTCACTATTTAATAAAATGGTTTTATGATATACAAAAAATGAAGATGTGATATCTAAGGGCTAATTTTTAAACTAATATGGGAAATTTTTTCTTGAATCCAATGTTATCATTAAATATAATTTAACAACTCCCTGATAATGAAAACTAAAACTAACATTGTACCAACTGTAGTTATAATGGCTTATAGAACAGGAAGATATTTCTCTTGGATATGCATATATTTTATATTGAATGAATCAAAAAGTATGTGTGTACCTGCAGTCCTACACTGTAATGCACGTATTCCTTTTAAAATAATGGCTTCCTGTATAATTCAGTTAATTGACATTTAAGCAGCACAAACTTTGTAAAACAAACCAGGTGCATTGGAGTGATCAAAAAAAAGGCATAGTTTGTGTTTTCAGGGGATATTTAATCTCTTTTGTTTCACAACCAAATTCAGTGCTTTTCAACTTTTAGTGAGCATCAGACTCATGTGTGTGCCAGTCTAGGATTTGATTTTACTTTTCTTACAAGCTATTATATTAGTCTGTTACTTTTCCATGGATGCTGGTAGGAGACACGGGACTCCAAGTTCAGAGATAAAGGGCTTTGTTACTCACAATGTAGCAAACAGTATGTGAACATCAACAAGCGCTTCATTTCCTTGCCCCCATATTCTCCAGAAGTGATGTAGAGTGCCCTGAAGGATGCCTGCACATGATCCATGTTGCTAGAATCCAGGTGACTGAAACAGAATTATGTTTCAATCTCCTAGCTTCCCTTTTGGCCAGGCTGCCACCCAGAGGGTGTACCAGTCAGGCCTACCTGAGGTTACTGGTAGGAGAAAGACACACATCATGCCCAGGAATAGTCAGGGAAGAATCCTGAATTTTCAAAATAGTTTTATGTATTTCACCTCCCCTTTCCTGTGATCATTACCCAGGAGGAAGGCAAGAGGAGATCAACCCATTCTGAGATGGCCACATTCAGTGATCACACTGTTTTACCAGGAAGAGACAAGGTCGATAGAGTCAGAAATAATTTTTAGATGATTGTTTTTTTAAAATGCATTCTACCTCTCAATGATGCCAGCAGCCTGAAGATGATAAGGGCCATGAATGTACATCATCAAATACCATGATAATCAGCCTATTTTTCAGTGGCCTTTAGGACAAAAGGCAAACCATTGTCAAACTGTAGATGGTTTGGAAAGTGGAACATGGCACAATTTAGATTTTAGAGTCATAGTTCGGTGGCCAGATTTTACTGATTGGACTGGAACAGCAACCCTACGACCAGAAAAAGTGGTGACAGTCATGAAGTACCACAGATATCCTTAAGATAGGGATCAAAGATTCCATGTGGTCAATTTGCCAGAAGGTAGAGGCAATGACTCCTGCAATGTGTCATTCCACTTGTGAGTCAGATGGGTCAACTTTTGGCAAGAGTCACAAGTTTGGCATAAAGTAATAACTTCTAGATCAGAAACATACAATTCTTTATGAACAGTCTATGAAAGTGGAGGTATTGCCATGTCCAGTCTAATGATAAATTTAGGTAGTGATGGTGGCCATCTGATCAGCAGCTTGATTCCAGTTGGTCTTATTAGAGAATGGGCCCTTACCATAGACATCTACATGAGCAACTCTGATTGCCAGCTGAGATTTGTTTCCACAGTTCATGGCTCAAAAAAAAGGGTGCCTTTAATCCACCAGTCTGAGGTCTTCCAAGTGGTAGACCAGATACCTGGGATATTGGCAACAACCCAAGAATTAGTAAAAATGTGAAAAGATTCATCAAGGATAGTATTGGCCAGGGCTATTAAGACTACCTTGAGTTCTGAACACTGAGTAGAGTAACCACGTCCACCTTTGTTTACAAATATCTAGCACTAAGACTGAATACCAGTAGGGACCCAATGAACACCATTAAGTATTTTTTTTTAATTTATTTATTTATTTTTGGCTGCATTGGATCTTCATTGCTGCGTGCAGGCTTTCTCTAGTTGTGACGAGTGGGGGCAACTCTTCATTGCAGTGTGCATGCTTCACAGTGTGCGTGCTTCTCATCGCGGTGGCTTCTCTTCTTGTGGAGCACAGGCTCCAGGCATGCGGGCTTCAGTAGTTGTGACACACAGGCTAAGTAGTTGTGGTGCACGGGCTTAGTTGCTCCGCGGCATGTGGAATCTTCCTGGACCAGGGCTCGAACCCATGGCCCCTGCATTGGCAGGTGGATTCTTAACCACTGCACCACCAGGGAAGTCCTAAGTTTTAATTTAGCTGAGCTATCAGTAAATCAGGCCTAGAAATTTAGAAGAACACCTGTAAGTCAAAGACCCCATTGGGCCAGCACTGTTGCTTCATGAAGGCATTGGAGTTGAAGATAATATTTCCTCCAAAGGTGTAGCTGCCTGTTTCTGATGTAAGGACAAAATGCTTCTCCAGCCAATCCAGCTGTGCTCTTGAGTGTACCATTTCCATTCAACTAGTGAGGCTTGTTGGGTTCCTTCCTTGTCAGTAAGCCTGGACATCATTTTATGTGTTTATTGTCTATTTCTACTTATTTTCTGTGGATTGTCTGTATTATTTCGCCACTTTTCTATTCAGTTGTTCACACCTGTATTGCTTTGTTGAAGTTTTTTTATATTGTTTTCCAATCTTTCATTGCTTGTCATTTATGGCATCTTTCACTATACAAAATTTATAATGTCTATATAGTCAAGTCTATCATGTTATATCTACATGCCTTCTGGGTTTGGTGCATCACCTCAAAGATACTCTTCTACTTCAATATTATTAAAACATTTCTGTATGTTTTCTTCCAAATATTGTTTGAATTTTTAGTCCATCTAGATTTCATTTTTATATATGATGATTAGTATTCAAACTTTATTTTCTTCTAAATAGTCAATATTCTAACAGCATGCATTTTATTATTCTTCCATTCCCCACTGATTTAAAATGCCTCCTAATTTTCAAGCAAAAATTCCAAATATGCTGGAATATATATTCCAAATATATTTTGGACTGTTCATCTGAGTCTAAAATATTAACATAAGACTGTTGACAGGGCAGGGAAATAATTATGTGATATTGTTTTGAAATGAATAGTAATTTTTAAAGCTATTGCTTTGTAGCTCATAATGTCATTGCATTTCTCAAATCATGCTTAAATGTGCATTTTTTTCATCTTCTTTATAATGTTACAAGGAGTATTATTAATAGAGCTTACATTAAATTTAGGAAAAGACAGAATAAAATTTAGTTTTTATAAGCAACTATTCAATAGCAAAAATAGAGTCAATCTTAAAGCATCCTAATAACTAGGATCAGTAAGAAAAAACACTGCTTCATTCTATATTCACATTTACTCCAATGTTGGAAAATCAAAGACGTGAGTGAAGCTAAAGATGATTAAGGATATGTATTTTCTTATTGTTACTTTTCTTTATTTTTGTGTCAAGACCAAAAGCTACTGAAGTCCATATAATTGGCTTTTCAGTCTTAAGTGAAGGAAATATTCAACACTTACTATATTTAATTATGGGTTACAGAGGTTTCATCATCACCAAAGAGGTACATTCTCTAACTTACATGAAATCCCCCAAATAAATCCTATATTAGTTGACTATTGATATTAGATTATATTTCAAACTTAATTCCTGCTACTTGGTTCTTGAGTTTAGCCTTCAATCATGTGTATAGAATGTAGTCACTCATAGTTTACCGTTGGCTATCCTAACCATTCTAACAAGATGGAGGCTTGATTGCTTTTCTTTTAGGATAGAGAGTGCATGCTCAGCACTCTTTGCCTAATTATGTCGTTTAATTTTCACTATATTCCAGTCAATTAGATTTTGTTATTGTTCACTTTACTGATGGGGAAAACCACAATCAAAGAGATTAAGTGATCTGCCCGATGCCAAGAGCTAACAAAGAGCAAATTTGAAATTTAAAACCTTATCTGTAGTCTTCTGAAGTCCATGATATCACTGCTGTATCATCGTTCAAATTAAGCTTCAAGGGACTAGCTTACAGGTATACACCAATAGCTCTGAGCAATAACCCTGTGGATTGAATGAATGGGAGTGGAAAGCTTACAAAGCCAAGACACAGACATTTTCATTACTTCTGGGCACAGATCTATTAAGAAGAGTCAGAAATTTGTCATGATTTTGTTTTTAAATTCAAAGCATGTGTTCAAAATACACGTTCAAGAGTTACTTAGATCATTTCTCCCAGGCCCCCTTTTCAAGAACACTTATGTTGTTTACTGGACTATAGCTTGGCTCCTTTGTTTGTTTTCATTTATGAACATGTAAAAATCTCACGGGGACATGTTACTTCCTTCCCTTTTTCTACCCTGTTTCCTTCCACTCAGTTGCCATAGGTAAGCAATTTCTTTAGCTCTGATTTATACTTTCACTTCTCTTTTTGAAAAAGAAGCTAAAGCAGATACATGTACATTTTCTTATTTCAAACATTATCTCTTTAAAATATAAGCTGAGTTACTTACCTGCTTAAAACCCTCCAGTGGCTTCACCTTACTCTTGTGATAAATCCAAACTCCTTCTGTGATCTTCTAGAACCTAAATTATCTGCTATTGGCTAACTCTCTGACTTCCTTTTCTAGCGTTCTACCCTTGGTCATTCCACTATATCTACTTGAATACACACATACTCATCCTTGCTCATGGTCTTTGAACTTGCTAAACTCTGCCTGCAATGCTCTTTACCTTGTTCGCCCTCTTACATTTTTGCATTATCTGCTCAAATCTCACCTCAAAGAGGACCTCTCTGGCAACCCCATTATCATGCTCTATACCCTACCTTGCTTTGGTTGTTTTTCATAGCATTTGACACTACCCAACCTTTCATTATACATTTATTTGCTAGGTGATTGTTATCAGTACCACTCACTATAATTTAACCCCTGTGAGGCAAGAACATTGTATTGCTCATCATTCTATCACGTGTGCTTGCAACAGTGCCTTCAAATAGTGGGTGATCAAAAAATATTTGTTAACTGTATTGATAAACTAATGAATCAATAGTTCCTCCATGTCTCATTTTTTCCTTATTAATCTCATGCTGCCACCCTTTTGTCTATGAGTTATGTTAAAAAAAACACTCTGTTTTCTATTTCATTGTTCCACTTGTCTTCAGTATTCCCATTGAGTCTTGCTGCTTCTATTGCTTTTTAGAATTTTGCAATCATGTTTTCCCTTTCCATGCAATTTTCCTTCCTGATGTCATAATTTCCCTCTTTGAGCCTGTCTTCCTCTAGCAAAGTCTTCTGCCTTGCTGAAAATAAAAGATATTCTAACATCCTACCTTCTATCTTGCAGAAACATCATTTCAAAGAAGGATAGTTATTTCTCATTCCTCAGATTGATTCTCTTGAACTGCTGAAGCATTTCTCATCCTAGTGATTTTTTTTCTCTTTGTACATCTTTACAGAGGCAGATCTGTGCTCATGCGGTCTTGTGAATTGGGATGGGTTCTCCAAAAAGACTTTGTGTATTTCTGGTAGAATCTCCCAGGCCAGGGGGCAGTTAAAGAGAGAAGGAAAATGTTTGATTTGTTGTGATTTAACTTTGCCAATTTGGACATCAAGGTGTCATATGGAAAGAATATGGAAGGAGGAAGTGTTCCTTCTAGAGGCTTTTTTACTATAGAGCAGCATCTCTTTGCTGAAGGAGGTCCTGATAAGTGTGTTGCGGGCAACTAGCCGGGCCGCTTTCTCTCTAGGTTAAATGGTCACTCTTTCAGCAAGACTACGGCCCCATGAGTATGCCATGCATGGAGTAAACATACTTTTTAAAAAAATCTTTGCTCTTTTATCTATAGCTTTCTCAAGGATATTGGTAAAGTGAAATTGTTCCCCAAATATACAATAACCTACTGTGTGGACCACTTTCACCACATATTCCTGCACTTCTAGCTAAGGATGTACTAGTAGTGTCCATTTCAGATACTGAAGGAGTTCCTTGCATGTACTTTTCAGTTTCCTGGTTTACAGACTAAAATAGACTTCCCGATATTTTTATATACCCTTCCCAAGTTCAGGGAGAATCTGGAGGAGAGGTGCCAATTAAAGATTATGTTCAAGTCACCAAAGTTAGTTGCCCAATTGCTTTTATTTTAACGTTATATAAAAATAAAGAGAATGGTATAAGCAGACCTAGATACCCACCTTCCAGCTGGTTTACGTATCAAATACAATTTACCTGGTGATGGTATTTGTGTTCACATATTACAAGACTGAGAATTTTAGATGTTACCAACCAGGGTTCTTGGCCTCCTTAATCAATAGAAATTGATAAGAGGCCAGACAAGAAATTTAGACAGGGCTTCCCTGGTGGTGCAGTGGTTGAGAGCCCGCCTGCCAATGCAGGGGACACGGGTTCGTGCCCCGGTCCGGGAGGATCCCACATGCCGCGGAGCGCCTGGGCCCGTGAGCCATAGCTGCTGAGCCTGCGCGTCCGGAGCCTGTGCTCCGCAACGGGAGACGCCACAGCAGTGAGAGGCCCGCGTACCGCAAAAAAAAAAAAGAAATTCAGGCAAGGCTTTATTGGGCCTCCTGCTGCAGGAGGGGGGAGCAAGAACAAGAAACAGGTTCCCTTGCTTGCTGGCTGTCCAAGGCGGGCAGCAAGCTGCTTCCTTATATGGACTGAGGGTAGCGGCAGGTCCAGGGGTCAGGCCGGAGGGGTGGCTTAGATGGCTTGCCTACCCCTCTGGTGGTGGTTTGTGTGCAGGGGGCATATGTGATACCCTGCTTTTGCTCCCAACACCCTTGTTTTGCTCCCGGCTCTTCAGAAGTGGCAGTTGGGTTTTTGATCTCTTTGTGTCTTTTTGTCCAAAATTTGCCCAACTGCGCATGTATGCAGTTATTTTTAGTCCCTTATAGTTTCTTTGTATTTTATTGCTTGAGGAGACATTCGTCCAGGTGCAAGCACTGGGTCACAAGTTCCAGTCCCAACCTGTCTCAGATCCATTTTCCTATACCTTGTTTGTGATAAGAATAATACGTTACCTGGATCTTGTTTCGATCCTGAACATAACAGTATCTCAGAGCCAAGAGTTGCCTTTATCAAATGAATGCTCCTAGTAATAAAAAGGAAGCAATTATTAGTGAGAAGAGTGTATAAAGAATGAATAGTAATTTTCAAAATGTTAGAGGAAATGAATTAAGTTGGTACATTCCATCTGTTTTTCCTCTTGTTCTATACCCTTACTGTGCCCTAGAAGGCTGAGGAAAGGGAATGAGATAAATTCACAGGGGGAAATGTTTCTCAAGACCTGCTTTGTTACTTTAAATTAACCCATCCACCCATGACCCAGTGGCTAGGAGTCCTAACACAGTATGTAGATATTGCAAATCCTTTCTCAGCCATTCCACTGGGCTCCCATTACTTTACTACTATTTCATTTTCCAGTCCTGACTGATTTCTGTCCTCCTCTCCTTTTAGGTTCTGGTCACACACTCTTGGCTCTCACAGTAAAACTGATTTCTCAGGTTTTGATCCCTCAGGTTGTCTGAGCATTTGGGATGTCCTCAGCCTCTGGCTCCTGGTGCTAGATTTAGCTGCTTCTGTTAAATTTTTATTTCTGATTCAGAGAGCAGGGTATGGGTACATAAGGGCATAGACAAAGCCAGAATGTCTGGATTTGAAAGCTGTCTTCACATTTAGTCAACTGAGCATCCTGGGCCAATAACTTTACCTCTCGAGTTTCCTTAACTGCAAAATGGTGACTATATAATAGTATGAACCTTATAGGCTTGTTTCAGGATAGAAATAAGATAATATTGGTGAAGTGCCTAGTACAGTGGTAGATGCATGCCAATTGTTATAACTATCTTGTAAGTAAATGAAAAATAAAATAGTCCGTTAACCCGGCCTGGCTCCTACAGGGTGAGAGGCAAACTAGATATTTCTTTGTTTCATGTTTTCAACAGAAAGCACTAGTTATTAAGGCTAAATCATTTTCTGCTTTGGCCTTATCACTTTCCAAACCAGCTGCTTTTCTCTCTGACTCTCTATGTCATGCTTCCAGAAAGCCCCAAACTTGGCACTGAACAGCAATGAAATGAATGTTTGCAGAGTTTAGGGCTCTAATTAACATAAAATGACTTACAAACTACAAGGGCTTTGCATTTAAAGGAATATAAAATTTACAGACAACATACAAACTGGATACTTCATAGGGTGTTTTCCTCAAGTGCACCTGAAAGCCAGGGCAACAGGACTGTAAATCCCCCTGTAAATAAATAAGATACCTGATTTCAAGTTGAAAGATTAACTCTACTCTTTAATACATCAGAGACGTCTGCTTTATTCGAGAAAGTTACTTTCAGTGTTCATTTGATTCCCATGCCTCTTAAGTTTCAGCAAATAGGAACATCCAAAACACTTTTCACTTTCACACCTCATTCTCAATTAGCCTAATTCTTGACTGGATTTCAGTTTCTCTCAATTTGGAATATCTGATTGTTCCTGAATTGCTGGAACCTTACAAGATCCAGATGAGCTCCTCTGTGTTGCCAAGTTTCTGTTAAGGTCAAGTTGACATTTTGTTTTTTTTTCAAGTTCAGACATTACCCCAAAATTGAAAATAGCTCTCCCTATTTCAAATTAGCTTAATTAACATTTATTAACACCTGATTCTCATTGATTCCTTTTTAAAGTTCTATCAAATATTTTAATTCTAGAAAGTTTTGCTCTCACTTGTCTTTTTTTTTTTAACATCTTTATTGGTGTATAATTGCTTTACAATGGTGTGTTAGTTTCTGCTGTATAACAAAGTGAATCAGCTATACACATACATATATCCCCGTATCTCCTCCCTCTTGCCTCTCCCTCCCACCCTCCCTATCTCACTTGTCTTTGATGAGTTTCTTTTTCCACTTGAGATTATTTAAACTTTTTTAAGATTATCTCTTGAAATACATTGATTTGAGGAATGAACATCTGTCTTTTATCATTAGTTTGTAAGGGATTATGCAAATGCTGGTTCTGTTTTCACAAAAAGGAAGAGAAAACATGTGAATCAAAAGATTCAGCAAGAGTTCTGTATAATGTAACTCTAGTCAGATGTGATGTCTTCTGAGTCAGTTACAGGAAAGAGAGGGTAGAAAGAATGAGGAACCCAATTCTGACCTTTTGGAAAGACCTTGTATTAGGATGAACTCTAAAATGTAGAGAAATACTAAAGTAAATGTTACAATAAATTCTCCCACAATATAACAAAGAGAATCACTGATGCAGTAAATGTTGGAACTTATCTCTTTACTTGATGTCCAAAAGAATCAACAATATTCTGTTTAGTGTGTGGTAAGCAGATTTGTTAAGTAACAATTCTTTCAAGTTTTAACATGAATTTTTTTGTATAAGAATTTATTTGAATCAAAGCAGCTACTATGTTCTCTTGCCTTATTAATCTCTCTCCCTCCAGTTCCCAATCCACTTGCCAACATTTATGACTACTGGCATCTAGTGGGTAGAGAACAGCGATGCTGCTAAATATTCTACAATGCATGGGACACCCTCCACAACAAAGAATTATCTCAACCCAAATGTCAATAGTGACAAAATGAAGAAGCCCTGAATTAGGTGTTTACAAATATAGTTAATCAAGAAAACAAGGTAACCATAACCAAGAACTCACGACATTTCGAGAAACTCTCCTCACCCTTTGGCAACAAAACAAGACTGACAGAAATTGCAAAATGCCATTCCAGAAATAGGACATATGTAGCCACAGTTATGTTTCCTTTCCACTCTTCTCCTTGGTTTTCCTGCTATAGGATTTTGGAGGATGGAGGTGAGGTGGTGGTTTATAATGTGTTTAAAGTGTTTTGTAATCTTTAGAGAGCTATACAGATATAAGGAGCTATTGTAAAGATAAAAGCCCAGAGCATCTTTCAACAGGCTTCTTTGTTGTCTGATGCTGTTGCAGTTTGTACAGCCACTACTCCTGGCTATTTTATTTAACCTATAGGTCATTCCCTTTGAGTATAATCTGTATCCTAACTCCTTTTGCCTAGTACTGCCTCGTGGAATTTTCAGCACAAAGCATACTGAGGCAGTTTTAGCATTAAGCTCTATTTTTCTGAAATGTTAGAGGTTGAATTTCAAATTCTATACAGATGAGTAAAACCTAGTTATTCTCCAGTAACAATATTTCCTACAGATGTATCTCCTGGCAGCTGGTAGGGCAGACAGCCATTGTTGCTCCAATCTGATCAAGTTTTTTGAAGGGTTTTGGTACCACCCAACTGTCTCCAGGCCTCTGAATCATGATTTCGCAGGAAGACTTCCCATTGCTTACCCTAGGGCTTTCTCTAGGGCTTTCAGAAACAACTTCCTTAGTAGCTCCAGATGGAACTGGAAGACCAAATAAAGCAGCAAGTATTAGAGGGAATATGAACCTCTGCTTCACTGATGGTGTATGTGTGTGGGCGGGGCGGGTCAAAGAATATATTATCATCGCAGCCAGAAGCAAACATCCTTACTGATTAGAAACTGGATTAATTTTAAAGCAGAAGGAATACCCCTGCGACCTGTATAAGCAGGTAATTTATGTAATGTTGACCCTAAACCCCTTAGACACAGAGATTTCTCTCCTGTCCACATCTGTTACTTCATATCGAAAATGACCCTTATCCTAGGCGAGGAGCTATGACTCAAACCTTAACTCTGTGTTGCTAATTCTGAGAAAGAAATTTTTCATATCTGGGCCAGATTCGGGCTATTCGAATAATTATACTTCCTGGTTCTAGATTTTGGTGAGGCATTGTGGATTAGAGATCAAAAACATCTAGGAGCAGTTAAGACTGATTTATCTTTAAATGCTTTATACTTTAAAGTATATAAAATGCTTTATATGTATTCTCTTTCCCCAGAGAATTCCCCAGCATTCTCTGGGGAAACAGGGCTATTTGTCTTTTCTAAAAATCTAAGGCAGTATCGTTGGTGTTCCTCTCACAGAGATGGCCCCCGACCTTTCACGGAGCCAGTTCATGTACATTTGAAATATGACAATCCGGCTGGTCTGCTCTCCCATCTCCTAAATCTGAGAAAAGCACTTCTTGTTTTGGAAATTCTTGGCTTCCTTAGTGTCCACTTGAAGGGGAAATACATTGATGCTTTTTTTTTCTTTTTTTTGCAATGGATGCAGTAAATGGCTATTTAATTTCAAATTAGATGAAGATTTCTTTACACTTCATAGATTCCAAACAAATGATTATAGCGCTCCTGTCATTTTAGTACATTAACATAAAGCACCTTATCTTGATAATACTGAGAGAAATGCATTAGAACAAATCACAGGATAAACATCAGATTCCAAAGTGACATGGCGCATTTTTTGAGTT